AATTTTGTGATTTGATTGGCCAGTTACAATAAGACAATACATAAACATTCGTGTAACATTAACGTTCCCTCCTGTTAGTTTAAATAACTTGTATGTTACACGAAACCATCGGCCTTTAAATAAACAATATTATTAATTTCGATTTTTAGTTTTTATAATTACCAAACTAATTTTACAACGCTAATAGTGATTAAATATTAAAGTTGATACATACGAGAAAATTTTGATACATAAATTTATAAATATTTGTCTTGTGATTTAGGTTGATAGTAACGGGAATCGCCTGTATTCAAATCTTTATATCTATATAAACTACTAACCCTAATTGCATCAAAACAGTAACTTGCTGCATGTAATTCTAATGCAACCTGGCTTTAACGTTCCCCCTAATATATAAAACACTTCAATTTCTCAAGTTTAAAACTTAATTTATAATTAAATATTATTCAAAATTTTAAACAAATTTGTTAAAAGAGTTTAAAAAAATACTATATACTATAAAAAACCTTTTTTCTTTGCTTAAAATACTCAAATTCGCTTAATAAGATTTGCTTATTATTACTACGTATAAGATTACTTTTGGATATATAACTAATTAAACTTATTAATAATGCCTTTAAAAACATACTATATATATATATATATATTAATTGTACGTAGTCGGTAATTTAGTGGATATTATCATTTTAATATCTAGAAACACTATAAAACCGGTTTGCTTAAAACCGCTTGAAAGCAACTACTTTGTTCCGAGTATGATTTTTTGATTTTTTTGCTATATACTAATCAAATTTGTTGTTAATAAAAAAAATTAATCTAGTCTATTTTTAACAAGTTATTAGAAAAACTATACCATTTTGCATTTTGTTCATTATTGCATTTTTAGATCTTAAGTAACAAATCTGAAAAGGCAATTATCATATAATGTATATTGATAAAATGATTAAAGCTATAAAAATTTGCAATTTGTTGAAAAAATTTGTATACAAATAAATATTATATAAATGCCAGTATGTTTATTGTGATATCCAGGCTAATATTCCGAAGCCCAGAACATTAATTACACTTCAATATAAATATTTCGAGTTTCGAAATAATTATTTAGCAATAAACTAACTGATCATTAATGTGCCTAGACTTTTTTTCCTTTTTTTTTTCTTTTTTTTTTAAAAAAAAAAAATATAAACAATTGTCAAGTAACCCCACCAAAACAAAAAAAATCCTAATTAAAATTTAAAAGAATATTTGTTTGATATCGGACTTATCAAATTTTTGTCCACACTTTGCACACTTACGATTTCGACCATCTACTTGTTTATCAAGACATACCTTGCAAAAAGCATGCATACATGAAGATAGACAATGATCTTTAAATCTTATATTACAAGATGAGCATTTCCATTTAGTCTGAAATAAAAAAGGCATATTGAATAGTTTAGAACAACCCTTAAACAAATCAATAAAACAAATGACCAACCTCATAAGCCTCAAGAAGCCTTTGCGTTTCTGATGGAACTGCTGCCACGTTTCTCCTTAATTCTTCCATTTGTTCTTTCTTTACTTCTAATTGTTCTTTTACATGTCTTAGTTCTTTTTCCACTGCCCTCTGTTCTTCATCTCGCCTCCTTAATTCTCTTGTGTGTTCTTTTGATTTCTTCTGGATCTTTGAATACGAAGAGATAAACGTAACATCAGTGAAACTGATATGAACTTAATCTATTTGGAAGAAAGAAAGAACACAAATACGTCACCTCATTATTTAAATTCTCGGTACTGATTTTATAACGTTTAATTTCAAGTTCAAACTCTTGTAATTTTTGTTTATATATAGTTAAAGTTTGGGCAGTAGTACTTGCTTCATTACTGTGATTTTCCTATCAAATTAGCAGCATATTTATAATGGTTAATGTATTAGATGTGAAGAAAGGAACAAAATAATTTACTTACTAGCTGAGACTTTAAATTTGTTAAGAGATATTTATGTTGACGTATTACATCAATTTGATTTTGAATAACAACCGCCATGGAACTTCTTTCTTTTTGAAGTGAAACATTTTCCATTGTTACCGCGTTTAATCTTTGCTGAAATTTAGTGAGCTGCAGACATCAAACTGTATTAATTATTATGATAATATATCTATTAACCAGATAAAAAGATAATAATCACCGATTGTTTAAGTGTGTAAACTCTCTGATCTTGTGTACAAATTTCGAAAGCTTTTTTGTGATTCGCATCATCCCTTTGTTCCAACTGGTTGAATAATGACTCAATCTCCCAAGACTGTGTCAGTTCATTCTGAAGAATAGAAAATAAATAGATAAGGACCACAACTAATATAAATAATTATATACATAAAATAAATTACTTTTTTTAAAATGTCATTCATGAGCTCGAGCTCTTTAATTTTCTTAATAAGCTCTTTAACGTCCATAGGCTGCTGTGAGTCCATTGTTGGTGAATTTTGGTTAGATCTTAATAATTTATCATCTCTAGAAAATGTGCAGTAGATCTAGTTTTGTTAAAATTTCCAGTATTCATGATTCATGATAATGACGAAACTTGCTTATATACTTTCGATCTACTTTCTCATATGAAAGGCTTTCGGTTATGTACTTCGCTATATCGGTGCCTTGGGATTCTCTAAAACTCAATTCATTAGGCGTAAGCTGAACATTACGGATATGCTCAATGGAATTTTTGTTGCCTTCAAAAGCTGCAATTTTAATGTTTAACTTTCGGATCTCTTCTTTTAAAATATGAATAAATTCCATTCTATCATTTGCAAGCATCCTAAACAAACCGTTAATTAATATACAATCCAATATTTCAATATTATTGAAATAAGAAGCCTATTTAGAATTTACCTGATTGCTGAAATTTGTCGAAACTCTTGCGGTATCATTGACCGCAATGTTTCAACGTCTTTGACCAATTCATTCCTCTTGGCACGAATCCGATCCAAATCATTAAGATATTCCTGTTTTACATCTTGAAATTCCTGATCCATGCGCTTCATTTCGGCCTATAGTAATTCGATTAAATGAAACTTAATGTAAAACAGATAATAATAAGGGGTAAGAGGCTTACATACTTTCAGTAAATCGTCTG